GTTGTATCCACTTTGTTATAATACCACTAACAGTTGACTGTGGAATATTTAGCAGCAAGGAAATTTCACAGATGGACTTATTGCACAGGTGGCAACCTATTGCAATACCACACTTTATTTCACTGAGCCCCTGAGAGCGTCCCATTTTTTCACAAATGTTTGAAGAAGCAGTCTGTATGCCTAGGTGCTTGATTTTATACACCTATATTCACAGTATAAATGAACCCCTTATCAGCTGTTTTTGTATTTTAAAAGGCAGGGATGTTGAATTTTTATCGCCCAACGCCAGGCACATGGAGTTATGGGCATCGGGCAGGTAGCTTTTTTTTTCACTCTGCCCCCAGCAGGGCTCACCTGTCAGGTGGAAGCATTCAGGCAGCAGACCTGTCACCCGATTGCAGCCCACAGTGCCATCTTCCCCCCCCCCCCCCCACCGCTCGCCAAGTCTCCCAGGCTCCGCTTGCCCATCTTCAGGCCTGGCTCAGTATGCGTCAGCATCTAGGAGGGGAGGGAGGAGAGCTAACACATTCGCTCCTGTCCCCTTCTTGTCCTGACCCAGATATTACATTTGATGTCACTTCTAGGTCCCTATTCACAGATTGCCACCTACTGAGGCCGGGAAAGAATGTGATGGAGGAGGTAGTTGGGGCTGATTTTAGTGGTGCTGTTAAATAACTCTGAAAAGCAATCCATGTATGGATTGGTTCAGAGACTCAGAGCAGCAGAGGCAAGGGAGTGATGTATGCAATTGTCAAACGTGGACGTGTTTGGACAGGGACTCACCAGTTTTTCAGCCTTCGCCCAATTGTGTGTGCGCCTTTCAATTTGTTGCCTGCTGCACTGCACACATTTTGCATACTTTCAGTGCAACGGGGTGTGTAACCAACCATCAGGGGGTGTAAGATGGGTGGAGCTGCTGAAACAGGCACAGCAGGGATTGACAACATCACAATGAGGCAGAGCAAAGATTATGGGCCTCTTCAGTATGAACTCCCGGATGGGCAGCAGGTGGAGCCAACCTTCAGGAATGATCTGAGAGGCTCAGGTGACAGCTTGGCGTATGGAGATGGCAGGCAAAAGATGCCACCAGACCAGTGTGCACTCAGCCCGAGCCCCCGCTGCTATTGCCAACAATCTAAAAATTTTCTTGTGTGTGCAGTGCAGACTGCCATTACCATCCATGCCATCTGCCTGACCTCAGAACTGCCACATGCCCCTAAAGTGATGGAGCTGGCCCTGAGTCCCTAGCCTGCTCAGTAAGATGGCCCAGTAGGACACACTCTCCTCCATGTTATTTCCACAGGAATAATGAGCAGTAAACACGGCACCATTTTTCTCAGTAAATACATTTCTGAAAGGTACTATTGCTACATTCACCACATTGGTAACAACCCATGCAATCCATGGATGCAAATAAACCAAAACACAAGTTCAGAAATTAAGTTATGTGTAATAAAATGGAAAGACATAGGGAAAAAAAAATATTGAACACATGGAGGTGCAAAAAGGCATGGAAAGCCAAGACAACAGCTGAAATCTATCAGTAATTAAGAAAGCAATCCTGCCCCTTTTGTCAGTGCAAATTAATATCAGCTGGTTCCATCTCAACTGATGGCCTATAAAAAAGGAGCCTCATTACCAAGGTGTTACATCTCAAGATGGGTAAAAGCAAAGAGCTCTCTCAAGACCTTCACAACCTTATTGCTGCAAAACATACTGAAGGCATTGGTTAAAGAAGGATTTCTAATCCTCTGAATGTTCCAGTGATCACTGTTGGGGCCATAATCTGGAAGTGGAAAGAACATCATTTCCCCATAAACCGGCCACAGCCAGGAGCTCCTCGAAAGAATTCTGAAAGACGCGTGAAAATAATTGTCAGAAGAGTTGTCCAAAAGCCAAGGACCACTTGTGGAGAGCTTCAGACAGTTTGAAACAAGTGAAACAATTGTTTTAAATAAAATAAGTAATGCACTCAACCACAATGGCCTGTATGGAAGCTCCCCATGCAAGACTCCAATGCTGAAGAAAAAGCATGTTGAAGCTCGTTTAAGGTTTGCTGCACAACATTTAGACAAGCCTGTGAAATATTGGGATAATATATGCAGGTCAAATGAGACCAAAATTTAACTTTGAATGCCATAATACAGATCATATATGGAAGTCAAATGGCACTGCACATCACCCCAAAAATACTATACCAACAGTGAAGTTTGGCAGTGAGAACATCATGGTGTGGGGCTGTTTAACATACAGTACTGGCAAACTTCATGTCCTTGAAGGGAGGATGAATGAAAAAAATGTTCCCAGACATTCTTGACAATCTGCTGCCATCTACCAGGATGATGAAAACGAGGGTGGACATTTCAGCAAGACAATAATCCCAAACACAAAGCCAAGAAAACTCTCAATTGGTTTCAATGAAAATAAAGCTGCTAGAATGGCCCAGCCAATCTGACTTGAATCCAATAGGAAATTTATGGAAAGAACTAAGGATCAGAGTTCATAGAAGAGGCCCACGGAACCTTCAAGATTTGAAGACTGTTTGTGTGGAAGAATGGGCCAAAATCACACCTGAGCAATGCAGGAGACTAGTTTCTTCATACAGTAGACATCTTTAAGCTGTGATTACCAAAAGATTTTGTACGAAGTATAATATAAATTTCAGTTAGCGTGTTCAATACTTTTTCCCTGTGTCAATTCCATATTAATAAATAACAAAAAAATTTAAAAATTGTATGTATAGATTGCATGGGTTGTTACCCACATTTGGTGAAAATTTCATGTTAGTATCACCTTTAGCGAGAAAAATGGTGATGTGTTCAATGATATTTTTTGTTTTTTTACATATTACCTAAATTGTACACCACACTTTTTTCCAGCTGTGTGGATATTTTGTTTAGCTTTTTAAAAATTTGTACAGGTTTGTAATGTTAACGTAAAAGATAAAGTTCTTTATTCTGCAGTTTGTGAGCAACTGTCCCCGTTGTTCAATTATAAATAAAAAAAAAAATATTGCATATTAAGCTTTTTTTTTTTATCTAATTAATCGAAACAATCGGCCAGCTAGGTAACTATAAAAGTAATTGTTAGTTGCAGCCCTAAGCTTTACTATTATTTAATCCATAATCTTCCCCCACTTATGCAAATTAGGATAGCAACAAAAACGAAAAAAACACAGTATTCTAAGAATATAAGTAATTTAATACTGTTAATTTTACAGCACAAAAAAAAAAAAAAAAAAATAAAAAAAAAAAAAAAAAAAAAAGGACTCAAAAGCTATGATTTCTCCTTAAAAAAAAAAAAAAAAAAAAAACAGGTTAAAAAGCATACACCTAAAATATTGTGTATTCTGTGTAACCTAGTGAAACATCTTCTGTAGGAGAAAATATTCTGTCAATGTGGGCTGCCCCTCTGGAAAAAAAAAAAAAATTGAGAAAACATCGAGCAGAAATCAAAAGTGTGGCTTATGAGCGGAAAATCAATGGTCTGAAACAGTTAAAAATGTTAATTACACTGAATTTCAAAACAAATTCTCCCCACCCCAAGTAAATACAATATAAAATTACAATTTACAAGCAAAACAAAATGGCACAAATGCATGTTTCCTCCCTTTGCAAAAATAAAATGGGACTGCGTCCCAAGTGACAAATTCCCTTTCAACTTTTGTCGTACTCAAACAACCAAGTGGACAGTGAAATTAAAATTCAGGGCATAGCTAAAGCAGCTATTCACACACTTTTTGACTGGAAAGGGTCCAGATCCAGCAAAACAAAACAATCGATAGGGGAAGAAGATTGGTTTAAAATGGCAGAATGTGAAAAAAAAAAAGCTATTTCAAGACCATAGGCATACCAAACCTCACTGCATATGAGTTACATAGATCGTAAACAGCAGTTGGGCTCTTTTCTATTGTATATGCTTGCTGCACTATTCCAGGAAAAGGGGAAAAAACTCAGAAAGAAAGAGCTAAGCTGATTGTATGAGGATCCGTTTCCTCCCTTTGTGCTCAGAAGCTGCGGTAGACTAGTACAGCTCACTGTAAGAAGGAAAAAAAAAAAAAAACCATCTCAACAAAAGGATCATCAATGAGTCAAAGCAAATAAAACTAGGCCTGGGTCTGAGGTTTAAAAGATGTCTTGACATATTACTAGCATTCTGCAACAATACAGAAGCAACGCTCAAGTCTGGATTTCTTTTTTTAAATAAAAGGGAATGGAAAAAAAAAAAAAAAAAAAAAAAAAAAAAAAAAAAGAAGGAGATACAAATTCACTAAGCTTTTCCAGGAGATCTATTTTCTAAACACCTCACAGGACAATTCCATAATGGCACCCACTAAGAGGAAGAGAGAAACAGAAATACAGATGGTACACTGCGGCATCAAATATCAAGCTGTAAATCCATTCATTACTAGAAGGACAAGCAGATGACATCTTTCACTACAGTGACAGAACTCTGCATTAGAAGAGGAAGTAGACATGTTCTCAATTCCTGTCTAGAACAATTATCTGTATAAATAAAGGCCTCAAATTCACCTACTACCACAATCTTGAGGTGTCCCCATAAGGATTTGAGCACAACAGAATCTCTCCAAATGGGGCAGCTTATCACAGCACTCTTATGTTGTAGCGATGTGTATAGTCAAAGATCCAATGTCCCTGCAAGCCTTTAGGCATGATTTGGATTTGTTAAAAAAAAAATAAAGACGCATCAGAATTCCACCAGGCATTGTTCTCCACAGCAACACAGGATTAGCGGCTGGCAGCACAGCATTTCTAAGTAAGCTTGTTCAGGCCCTTGAACACGTGGTGAGCAGTAGCTCTGCATTATGGACAAACACAGCTATGTTACATGCGTCAGTAGGTGAACTTTGGAGTGTGTTATTTTCAGAAGTGTCAAATAACCAGGCGGCTGAAAGATCTGAGTTGAAGGATATGCCAAGAAAGCTTCAGAGGATCTGGAAGAAGAACAGTTAATTAAGCAGAGCTGAGAGGAGAAACAAGTCACTCATTATCATCCGGATTCTGAGGGTCAATAATTTTCACATGTGTGAAGGGGAAAAGCCCTTTTCGACCATTCACTTCTCCTTCCCATTGGCCATTAATATTCATCCGAGTCACTTTCACCACATCGCCCACCTACAAGTGAAACAGAAAACAGCACTGGGTCAGATATGGGATAAGTGCAACTCAATCAAACATGTCAACTACATATTTTGAGTTTCTTTAAAACGGGTGTAAGAAATTTATTTTAAGGTTCCACGTTTATACTTTGTTTTTCAGTCTGCTTTTAGTATATAAAAGTACATAGGACATAAAAACTGATTGCTTAGTCAAAGATCTGATTACTGTATCACAATAAACAAGTTTTGCAAAAACAAACCCACACAAATATGTAAGAAATGAGAAATGGTCAGAGGTGTTTTAGGATTGACACAGCGCTACACTTCAGCAGTAGAGATCAACTTAGGAATCAAGTTTGCCATCTTTTGGCCTCATGGCTGAAAATATTTCCTAATGTCACAGTACGACAGAATACAACTTCATAAATGATGTATTCTTTTGTTTATGAGCATGCACAATCTTGGTCACTGGATTTTTACAGATGAATACTGTACTGATTAGGGATGCACTGAAATTTCGGTGGCCGAAACAGTTCAGCCGAAAATACCTCATTGGCCTTTGGCCGCTATGAAAATAGGCACCAATACAAGGGACGAAAATAACCCCGTCCTCGCTGCCCATGCTAGGGGGTTCTCAGACTTACCTGAGAACCCATCCAACAATCCCAGCATTGGGCACAGAGATCCGTGAAGGAAAGATGGCCTCCACTGATCTCTATTCCCTTAGCGGACTGGAGCAACGTCATTACTTCACTTACGGTTCCGATGCCTTGTAAACAAGGCCTTTTTTTTACTTCTTTAAAAGCACTACATCAATGCTTTTTTTGAACTAATGCTTTACATTGTAGAGGAGAGATGTGGGGTCTTATTGACCCCATATATTCTCCATAAAGAGGACCTGTCACTGGTTATTTGTATCACAAGGAATGTTTGCATTCCTTGTGAAAGGAATAAAATTGATTAAGGAAAAAAAAAAAAAAAAAGAAGTTTAATTCATTGTATTACATTGTCCCTTTCTTTTTTTGTTAAGTGCCTCAACTGCCCCACCCCCCACTCAGGTGCAGTGGTGAACATATACTTAGGCCTCGCCCACATATGTAAACGGTGTTCAAACCACATATGTGAGGTATTGCCACGAATGTCAGAGCAAGAGCAATAATTCTAACCTCATCTGTAAACTTTAAAAATTTCTACAGCTTACCAGTTTAAAGCATCACCCATGGAGATTTTTAAGTAGTTTGGCGACATCTCACGAACTTGCGCAATTTTAAAGCATGACATGTTGGGTATCTGTTTACTCGGCGTAACATCATCCTTCACATTTTATAAAAAAATTGGGGTACATATTGTCTGCGGTTTTTTGTTTTCATTAAAGTGTATTTTTTTTTTTCAAAAAAAAAAAAAAAAAATTGCGTTTAAAAAAATATATTCATTTTTTTAAAACTGTCCATTTCGGTTTTCGGCCAAGTGCATCCTGAATTTTTAGTTTCAGTCCCAGAATTATCATTTTGGTGCACCACTAATACTGATTAAACAAACATTGTTCGTTCTGGTATCGTATGAGAACATTTTTTGTGCTTGTCCCTTCAAATAATTTTGCATGAACTGTCATGATCGGCTCTCGAAAGCTGTGTACTAACTGAATATTGGATGATCGCTCTGAAAGTGGTATTTTTCATCCAATTTTCTCATTGTATGTAGTAGGCATTAGTCTGTCCCAATAGAAAGGCTTAGGCAGCCCATACAGGATTAATTTTCTTCCATTCAACATGGGTTGAATGAAAGAAAATGAATTGATTCCCCTCATCCACACTCTCTAGGTGTGACAGAAGCGAGGTTTCCCATGTCAGAATACACTCATCAGTACCACCAACCATAGCCAGCAGCACTCGAGCAAAGATTTTCCTTCAGGCTGGTTGTACAGAAGTCGATCAACCAAATTGCCCACTTTTTTTTTTTTAGATTTTTAAAGCTATACTATTGGAATGAGAATATATAACAAATATAAAGTAACATGGGTGCTATCCCAAAACTGTCTGCAAAAGTGGAAATACACATTAAAGCAGTAACTGTGCAAAGACATATCACTGGCCAAACACAAAATTGTAATACACTGAACAATGAACCGTTCAGGATGACTTCATATTATACTGCATATGAAGCCAACAATTCTGAATTGAAAATCTGTTAAAAGCACAGGACCAAGCTCCAAGCATTCATTATGTGAAAGTAGTTGTAAAGGAAAAATATATTTTTCCTTTACAACAACAAACATGTGATACTTACAGAGCAGCTCCAAACCTCCTCTTGGATCCCCCGCTGGTGTGCCCGGCTCACTCCTGAGCCCAACTGCTGCGTCCATTGACCTAGACAGTGGGACTCTGCCCCTTCACTAGCTTTGATTGACAATAGTGGGAGCCAATGCCTCAGCAAAGCCTGTGAAACCTGGAAGTGAGGGGAGAGAAGAGCTGCAGACGTGCACAGTACTGGATCAAATGAGGGCTCAGATAAGTATAAGGGGAGTGAAGGGCCAAAACATTTTTTACCTTAATGCAAGGAAAGTTAACAAAAAAAAAAAAAAAAAAAAAAATGTTTAGGCTTTAGAACCACATTGCACAAAAGTACTACACCACTAGGAATAACCTTACCACAGCTGTGCAAGAGGAAAAAAAAAAAAAAAAAAAGCACAAACAAAAAGGGAATGCTGCATTTTGGATGATGAGAACTTTAACCGCTTTCCCGCAGATATACCGCTACAGGGCGACAGGGGTGCACAAAATCATGTATATATACGCGCGATTTTGCACCGCTTTCACGGCCTTGGCTGTCAGTCACTGGGTCCCGACCAGTGATTACTCGCCGGCACTCGGTAAACGAGCAGTGTTACCCACGGAGGGAGAGAACTCTAAGTAAACAATACAGTTCTCTCCCCTGTCAGCTCCAGCACACTGCTATGCAGGGCTTTGCAAAGCAGAGCCATGCAGAGCAGTGTCCTTACAGTGAAGCACAGACACAGCAAAAAAAAAAAAAGCAAGCAAGCAAGCAGTTAACCTTTGATTGCCCCACGTTAGCCCCTTACTGCCCAGTGCCATTAGCACTGATCACTGTATTGAGGTCACTGGGGATGTCAGTGACACAAAGTCAGTTCCCCCCAGTGCCAGAATGCCCGCCGCAGGCCCATTATAAGTCGCTGATTGCCGGCATTACTAGTAAAAATAAACAAAAAAACCCAGTAAACATACATACATATATACATACACACATACACACACACACACAAAATACCATTTGTACACACTAACTTTCACGTAAACCAAATTTACACGTATTGGGATTTGTTTATTCTAGCAAAGCCATGTAGCAGAATACATTTTGGCCTAAATTTAATTTTCATTTTTTTAACTGGACATGTTTAATAGCAAATAGTCAAAAACATTGTTTTCTCAAAATTGTTGGCCTTATTTAAAAAAAAAAAATGGGTTTCATTCTAGACCACAACATTCTTAAAAAGGCCAGCAACACAAAACAAAAATCTAAATCCCCCTGCCTGATTGAAAAACACAATGACATAATACATTAGTTGAGTATCAAACATACATAGTCACAGCTTTTAGTGTAACACACACAAATATGAAGTACTACTACACATGTAAGAAGTTACACGGACATGATGCTGAACAATCTCAGTCATGATTTCCCTAGGTTAGTTGGACTTTGCTGTAATACTCAGAAATTCAAACAGCATGCCATTTAATAGATGAAGGCTTGCCTGTGCAAGAACCAACAAGTCTATCTGAGCGTAACATTTACTATTGTCAACCACATGTTTCACCCCACCCATTATAAACCTGCAGGTGGCTTGCTGTGATCTACTGCCCAATGGTTATTTCTGGAATCTCTAGCCTCGGGGAGGGAATAGTGACTCAGAATTCCATGCACACCTCAGTCCCACCTGAGCACACACACTCTTCCTCTGAGTCAATGGCAAAAACTTTTACCATGTGTCATTTCCTCATCTTACACATCCAGGACTTCTCTCCACTGACTTATCTGACTTGTGCCAAGCTGCGCTTCCTGATAACAATGTAAGCATTCTTTTTGCCTGAACATTAACAAAACCGGAATTGAAAAGAAAAAAAAAAAAAAAAAAAAAGAAGAAAAAAAAGGGGAGGTGAATACAGCCTGCTTCAATTCACAGGCTCCAGCTTTTGCTGTGCAGAGTTTTAAATTCCGGTCAAGGAGCATGCACTCTCAGTCTGGGTTCACACTGATGCAGTTCGGAATTTGCAGCGTTTTCTGTGTGAATTCCGCACCGCATCACACCCAGTTCATGCGAACCACTGCAGGTGTGTACATTAACACCCTGAAATCTGAAAACGCAGTCTGTGGGCAAAACGCAGTGCGATGTGCAAAAAAAAAAAGAGTCCCCCCCCCTTTTTTGTGCAGGTCAATTAGAGCCATACAAAATGTATGGCTCCAATCGCACTGCACACAAATCGCATGCGATTTGCACAGAAATGCGGTGCGGTTCCTGTGCGAATTACATGCGATGTACCGCACATATGTAAACCCAGGCTCAATGTAAATAAGTCTATGACTAGCCTGCTCCGGTCTACATGTCCCATCATTCCAGCTGCACATATTAGGAGAACATCCATGTAAGGGTTTCTCCAGTGGAGCTTGAAAGAAGCCTAAAAGCTGGGTACACAATCTGGCTGGCTCAGCGGTACCTGGCTTATGTTTGGACAGTGTCTACAGCTGCCTGTCTAACAGAAGCCAGTCCAACGACCGGCATTTGTTGAAGTGTAATGCTGGTAAACCAGCGTCAGACCAGCAGGCGATCAGTGCTGGCAGTCATTCCACATGAGGTGTTACCTTCAATAACTAAATATTAAAAATGATAACTAGATATATTTTCAGCCGATTTTATAAGGAAATCTGGAATATTCCTGTAAAAATCAAGCTTGGTCCTACACCCTTTTAGTCAATGACACCCCCATCAGATTACAGAACCAATTCAGAATCTCTGAAAAATTAAATATTTTAGTACAGCTTTGGGTGTCGGTATATCTGGAACAGGTTGTGTTCAGTCTGAACTGCCCAGGTTTATGAGAGATTTTCTTAGAACAATCTTCCACTCAAAGAGTATTTAAACCAAACAGAATTTCACAATTTACAAAAATGTATGCTGCAAAGATCCAAGTTGAGCTGCAAATATTAGTCAAATCTGGTCTGGTGCAAGATCATAACATTTAGGTTGATGAAACCAAAACAGGACTACTTTAACAAATATTTTACAATGTATCTCTATGTATGCCAAGCTGTACTAACAAGCATATAGAATGTGCGTTTAAATTTAAAAGGATAAATGACTCCAATGTTTATTTGCACTTCTGCTTACATAAGAGATGTGTTCAGAATTTAGTTTCCAAAAGCCAGAGCTCAAACAGTTACTGAAAATATATCACGCCTGTCAAGCAAACTTGCTGGGATTTCAAGCGCTAGGAACACAACGACCTACTTGTTAACCTTCTGAAGTGTGTCAATTTGCCAAGAAACAACCTAATTAGAATAACAACCCAGAGAGACTCTGTGATAATGTTCTACTAATTAACACACAACAAATTGAGTCAGTATAGACCTACTTAAATGTATATAAATGAGAATAGAGGGCCCGCAAAAACCTTCCTAACAACCTATATACTAAACACAATGACATTTGTAAATCAAATTTGCACGCGTTTAACCTAGAAAATTATGTTTAAAATTCAAGATAAACACATTACAAAACTTTTCCCCCAGATCACAATCTGTGTCCTACATAAAGTGTAGGGGGGGGGGGGGCAGACTCTATTTAAAAAAAGGGGAGAAACCAGTAGCAGAATTTTAATACTGGCACCTCAGTATGATTAATTCATTCCAAGAGAGCTTCTGTACATTTAAAATCCAGAGTTCTCATGCAAACAGCAACCGCACTTCTGGATTTCACAGCAGTCTGCCCCTACCTCCCTCCCACTTGGCTACAAAAGTGTAACAGGCTACCTCCAGGCCAACAAAAATTAATGTACCACAATACTAATAAAACGGACTAGAGTGCAATTAAAGATCTGGTCACCGTTTGCATTACAGAAATGAAGATAACCATGCATGCAGACTCATTAGGTGCTCGATTTATAATCTCACAACAGATTTCCCCTCTTCATCAGGTTTACAGGTTAGATTTCAGGTAGTTAGCCATTACACTACCTGTGGAGCAAGTAAGACTCTGAAGAACTCATTACAATCTAATGTACCACTGCAAGGCCTGGTAGTCTCCCGATTCTCTGTTGCAGCAACTTAACATTTCAAGGGAACCTGCTAGGATGACTTTTCTTTCACATCCAAGGTTCCTCATCACCACTGGAGCCTGCTTCTGTCCCAAAACGGTGCTTGATCCAGAGTAGAGCACGCACCTCTGTAGCAGACACAGTTACAAGCTTACCGTGGAACCAGCACATCTACTGGGAAAATAGCAGCGTACAGCACTGATAAAAGACAACCATGACAGTTCACGGATTTTCTGACAAGTGCCCTTCAAGATATATAAAAGATGCACTGATCGACAAAACAGACTGAACAAATAATACCTCTTGCACATGATGCAACACATGAACCAGGCAAGTAAGATGGCATAGAAAGATGGCTGCATCAATGCATTCTTCACATCTTTCATTTGAACTACAAGCTTACTCCATCCACAGCAACTTACCTCTAATGCAAGAGCAGTTTTGTCATAAGCACATGGCACTCTTTTCTGAATAGCTTTAGCATAGACAGGTCCATTCTGGGTAGATGGTAATGGAGTGACAGTAGGAGGATTGCCAGAGGTAGGGAGCGGGCTGGGAGTCTGCGGCTGAGCGTAGGCATGTGCGGGCTCTGGTATACCATAGCTGTTCGAATTCCTGTTTCCCATTTTGCCATGAACTGGTACACGTGCTAGCTTTTCAACGTAGGGTACAGGTATCATACCAACACGACCGTCTTTGTTCCGGGCACTCCACCATTGTTCCTCTGGCTTTTCTACAATTATTAAAATTTCTCCCTTTTTAAAAGGAAGGTCCTCCGCATCATTTCCAGGGAAGTCATACAGAGTTCGTACATATTCCAAGTTTTCCTCTGATGCAACAACATTGGGGGCCGATCCTGCACTGACAGGTGGGCTTGGGTACCTTCAGACAGAAAGAAGGAAATGTTTAAGAAAAAGGTCAAAAAGCTTAAATTCAGAACCATTAAAAGCAATACTTAAATACAATCATCAAGCAATATGGTGCATAAGAACTAAAAAAGACAGTTGTAGAAAGTATATATACCATCAAGCAATATGGTGTCCTAGGAGCCAACCTATAAACGGTCATAGGACAAACACTAAACAAGGACTGAAAAAAAAACTGTTTTGAAAAACCAAGTTAAATTAAAAATTGTACCCAAAGACACTTTAAAAGTTGACTACAGAATGAAGCAGCTGAACAATAAGAACATTTTGTACAAATATCTCACCATGTAGGATGCAAGAAATTGTGCATCTATGAACGGTGAGGGAGTTTAGTTTGAAGTAATTCATCAAGTTTGAAACTTAAGGGAACTTTTTTTTTTAAGCTTTGCACTAACAAATAGTGCCCAACAAGATTGAATAGTGCATGTCAAAGGGGACGGGGGATCACTAAAGGATATACTAATTCAGAAATCAAAATATCCTCGCACATAAGACCAGGTTTATAGAGCAAAAAGGTATGGATTCAGGAGGTCTCCTGGTAAGATGAAGAGATCGCAGTTATGCAAGCTTCATGCCGAGTAATATTTTAATCTCAGACAACTGCCTGTATTACGAATCAAAACCAACTAATCGCATTTAGTGAATAAGCTTAGCAAATTACAATGTATGTAAAGCACCAAGTAATTAGATTAGGAGATTAACAATCCCTAAACATACCAGCTTCCTACAAAACCCAACTGTCCCCTAGATTCCATTTGATACTAAAGTCTTTTACACCTTGACAGTTTACTGAGCAGTAAATATGATGCAATGCAGTGGTCACCAAAAAAAGCAGAGAACAGATCGGTAAAGGACTGCATTCAGCAGAACAGATGAGGTGCTAATAAGATTTGTAGAAGAAACGTGTGTGAAAATTGCTATCAACTCATTATGGCTTTAATGAACATTCTACACAAGTTTACAAACGAGAGGAAAGATATTGAGCTGGAGTGATTCAGCAAAGAAAAAGATGAGCCTCTCAAGTGCAGAACTTCTAGCAAGAAATCAATATTAAAAGGTGCTGCAATATCCAAGCTGGGATCTAAAATGAAAAAACAAAACATGGCCTCTGGAGTAGAGACTCTTGTCATAGCCTATTAAATATTCCAGACACTATTGATTTGTTTTTAAGCTGATGCACTAACTAGTGACATCCACAGTACTGAGAAATCAGCAGTAATAATACAGTGGCTGGCCAGGAATCTGAAACCAGCTAACTCTGCATCAGCAACTTGTTTTGTGTTCCTAAACAAAGCAAGGAATTAATTGACACAAACAAGAACCATCAAGCTGATGGAAGCACTGTATCACACAGGCAGATCACCAAAATGCCCAGGAATGACAACTCCTACTAGTAGTTAGGAAGCATTATCGATCTGTGGTATACTGACAGACAACTGTAATTCACATCTTTCAATAAAAACACAACTGTTACTGAAAAGAATAAATTGTCCATTACTCCCAATAGGTTTCACCTTTAAAATAAAGCAGCATACTGGAGTGAGCCATCTTTAAAAGGATAAGTTCACCTTTTTGACAAAAATAATAAATGCATTTTTTTTTGCAAGTGAAAAAAAAAATGTGTATTTATTATTTTTGTCTGCAGGAGCCTGGAAAGCATTGCACCAACGATCAGTACATCACTGATGCCATGCAGGTCTCCTGCAGACCAGTCAGAATATCTGCTTGCCGTACGGGATGTACAAGCAAGCAGATAATCTGACAGGAAACTTCAATTAACTACTACGGCACCGTGGTAGTTCATTGAAAACTTCAAGCCGACAGCCCCTAAGGCTGCTGGGACTTGTAGGCACTTAATCACAGAACTCTGAATGAATGACGGGGCAGTGTGGGCGGAGCGCCACACGGCTACGCTGTTTTCAAATCTGACATAGTACGGGGTGGCGGCGGACGCAGCTGCAGCTATGAGAACGTTACATGTTCCACTCTAAAAACAGGTGGAACATGTATCATGTTCCCAAAGGTAAACTTATCCTTTAAAAGAGCCCAATAAAAGTAGACCCTGTGTGAAAATGTATGATCCCCCTATACCGCAGCCCCTGATTAAAATGCACCATCATTGAAAGCTATAGAGAAGCAAAACATTCGAGGAATATGTTACTTACATCTTTATTGTCATGGAATCCTCAGCTTTCTCAGTATCCTATGAGAAGACCTAACATTTTTCTTCCAATTTTTTTTGGTTTTTGCTTTTAGGGTCCATACACACTGGGCTTAAAGGGCAAGTTCACCTTTTAGCAAAAAAATAACTGCACATTTTTTTGCATTTAAAAAATGTGCATTTATTATTTTTTGCTTTAGGAGCCCAGAAAGCATTGCACCAGTGATCAGCAGATTGCTGGTGCCACACAGGTCTCCTGCCAACTGTCAGTGTATCTGTGTGCTCGTACCTTGTATGAGCAGGCAGTTATACACCGACAGGAAGAATCAATTAACTACCATAACGCTCAACACCGTGGTAGTTCACCAGGAACTACAAGCAACAGCCACAAATGCGGTTGGGAATTTTAGTCTTTTCATTCACAAAAGGCTATGACTGAGTGATGAACGGCTGCGCTTTTTCAAACTTGACAGCTAGTGGGGGGGGGGGGGGGGGAGAAGATTCCTGGCTAGCTGTTACATTGGCAGATAAGGGGGAGAGGGGGCCAGTACAACTTTAACAAGTTACAGCCTGAATATGGGTGTGACCTGTTTAAAAAATAAAACCTACTTTCCTTGGCAGAAAAGTTCATATAGACCATTTTTGTACAGTTTAGGAAGGTATAGGAACATTAAACTTTTTTTTTCTGCCAGAAAACTGCTCTCAGAAACACAAAACCAGAAGGGTTTATTTCTGCCTCTAAACACGAAGCTTAAAAAAATGCATCTAAACATCCTAATGCATGAACACATAGGATAACATTGAGCTGCTTCTACAGGCAAATCAAAAAACTCCTCTAGAAGCAACATTAAGCCAGTGTGCATGGAACCTCACAGTGGGTTGTTTTTTGTTTTTTTTTTTTAATTCAGCAGTTCCCAGGATACAACATAAGCAGATCTTATTTTCATCCAAGGTCCACATTACAAAATTCATAGCAAACACTGGCTCTATTTTTCCTATAGCATCATTAAACAGTGCTAGTCTCCATACTTACGAGCAGGGCAGAGTGCAGCAGTTATGTGCAAAGTTCAGAATACAAATGTCACCTTATAATGGAAATGTAGTTGGGCTGCTGTGGGTCCCTGTGCTCCTCACACTGCTGACACTCAGGGAACCTGATCCCAGCCCAGCTGTGAGGATGGCTGCTATGAGCCCCTGTACTCGGCACATTTCTAACACCCATCAGGGATTCTGATAAGTGTCCAAGCTATGAGGGGAACAGCTATGAGACCCTACACTCCTCAAACCGCTGACACACTCAAGGACTCTGGTCCTGGTCCAGCCCAACAATGTGTAGGATGGGGTGAGGGGGGATACTATGGGCCCCTAGACTGCCATTTCTGAGACCCAGCAGTGACTCTTAACACAGTCCAGCAGTGATTGGGGGGGGGTTGTGAAGCTACAGGCCCCTGGACACCGCATACTGCTGGCACCTATTGGAAGACGGATCCCAGTGCAGCTGTGGGCCCTTGCAATCGGCACATTGCCAACACCACTCAGGGACTCTGATCCCAGCACAATTATGTTGGGGGGGGGGGGGCAAGCTATGGGCCCCTGAGCTCTGCATACTACTGGGATGTAAAGGGGGATGCTGTGGGCCCTTGGATTCAGCACTTTGATCCCAGCCCAGTTGTGAGGGGGGCATATATGGGCCCCTGGACTCAGCGTAGCACTGAAACCCGTAAGGCGCTCTGCTCACAGTCCTATGTGAAGGGGGCTGCTGTAGGCCCCTGTGCTGGGAACACCACATTGCTGACACTCATCCAGCTGAGATGGGGGCTGTTCTGGACCCCTGTGCTCATCACACTAACACTCAAGGACTCTGAGCCCAATCCAGCTCTATGTTGGGGGGGAGCTATGAGCCCCTAGACTCCATCTGCTGACACCCATCAGGGACTCTCATCACAGTCCAGCAGTGAAGGGGGTGCAGCTATGGACCCCGCATACTGCTGACAGTGCAGCTGTGATGGGGCTACTCTGGGTCCTGTGCTATGAACACATTACTGACAATCCAGCTGTGATGGGGGCTGCTCTGGGCCCTGTGCTGGGAACACATTACTGACACCCCTCCAGCTGTGAAGTGGGCTGCTCTGGACCCCTGTGCTGGGAACACATTACTGACACTCCTCCAGCTGTGATGGGGGCTGCTCTGGGCCCTGTGCTGAGAACAAATTACTGACACTCCTCCAGCTGTGAAGTGGGCTGCTCTGGACCACTGTGCTGGGAACACATTACTGACACTCCTCCAGTTGTGATGGGGGCTACTCTGGGCCCTGTGCTGGGAACACATTACTGACAATCCAGCTCCTCCAGCTGTGATGGGGGCTACTCTGGGCCCTGTGCTGAGAACACATTACTGACACCCCTCCAGCTGTGAAGTGGGCTGCTCTGGACCCCTGTGCTGGGAACACATTACTGACACTCCTCCAGCTGTGATGGGGGCTGCTCTGGGCCCTGTGCTGAGAACAAATTACTGACACTCCTCCAGCTGTGAAGTGGGCTGCTCTGGACCACTGTGCTGGGAACACATTACCGACACTCCTCCAGTTGTGATGGGGGCTACTCTGGGCCCTGTGCTGGGAACACATTACTGACACTCCTCCAGCTGTGATGGGGGCTACTCTGGGCCCTGTGCTGAGAACACATTACTGACACACCTCCAGCTGTGAAGTGGGCTGATCTGGACCCCTGTGCTGGGAACACATTACTGACACTGCTCCAGCTGTGATGGGGGCTACTCTGGATTCTGTGCAAGGAACACATTGACAATCCAGCTGTGATGGGGGCTGATCTGGGCCCTGTGCTGGGAACACATTACTGACACTCCTCCAGCTGTGAAGTGGGCTGCTCTGGACCCCTGTGCTGGGAACACATTACTGACAATCCAGCTGTGAAGTGGGCTGCTCTGGACCCCTGTGCTGGGAACGCATTACTGAATCCAGCTGTGAAGTGGGCTGCTCTGGACCCATGTGCTGGGAACGCATTACTGAATCCAGCTGTGAAGTGGGCTGCTCTGGACCCATGTGCTGGGAACACATTACTGAAAATCCAGCTGTGATGGGGGCTGCTCTGGACCCCTGTGCTGGGAACACATTACTGACAATCCAGCTGTGATGGGGGCTGTTCTGGACCCCTGTGCTGGGAACACATTACTGACAATCCAGCTGTGATGGGGGCTGCTCTGGACCCCTGTGCAGGGAACACATTACTGACAATCCAGCTGTGATGGGGGCTGCTCTGGACCCCTGTGCTGGGAACACATTACTGACAATCCAGCTGTGAAGTGGGCTGCTCTGGACCCCTGTGCTGGGAACACATTACTGACAATCCAGCTGTGAAATGGGCTGCTCTGGACCCCTGTGCTGGGAACACATTACTGACACTCCTCCAGCTGTGAAGTAGGCTGCTCTGGACCCCTGTGCTGAAAACACATTACTGACACTCCTCCAGCTGTGATGGGGGCTGCTCTGGACCCCTGTGCTGGGAACACATTACTGACAATCCAGCTGTGATGGGGCTGCTCTGGACCCCTGTGCTGGGAACACATTACTGACAATCCAGCTGTGATGGGGCTGCTCTGGACCCCTGTGCTGGGAACACATTACTGACAATCCAGCTGTGATGGGGGCTGCTCTGGACCCCTGTGCTGGGAACACATTACTGACAATCCAGCTGTGATGGGGGCTGCTCTGGACCCTGTGCTGGGAACACATTACTGACAATCCAGCTGTGATGGGGGCTACTCTGGGTTCTGTGCTGGGAACACATTACTGACAATCCAGCTGTAAACTGGGCTGCTCTGGACCCCTGTGCTGGGAACACATTACTGACAATCCAGCTGTGAAGTGGGCTGCTCTGGACCCCTGTGCTGGGCACACATTACTGACAATCCAGCTGTGAAGTGGGCTGCTCTGGACCCCTGTGCTGGGAACACATTACTGACAATCCAGCTGTGATGGGGCTGCTCTGGACCCCTGTGCTGGGAACACATTACTGAAAATCCAGCTGTGATGGGGGCTGCTCTGGACCCCTGTGCTGGGAACACATTACTGACAATCCAGCTGTGATGGGGGCTGCTCTGGACCCTGTGCTGGGAACACATTACTGACAATCCAGCTGTGATGGGAACTACTCTGGGTTCTGTGCTGGGAACACATTACTGACAATCCAGTTGTGAAGTGGGCTGCTCTGGACCCTGTGCTGGGCACACACAGCTGACACTCGGGGGTTCTCCGTGTCCCCGCCGGATCCTGCCCCACGTGCCTCTCACCTGGGGGCCGGCTCGATGAGGGTGGTGGTGTCCAGGTAATGGATCTTGTAGAAGTCGAGCAGTGCAGGCAGGTTGTCGAACTCCTGGTCCCCGATCTTGTAGCGGCGGCCGGGCAGGGAGTTGATGATGTAGTGGGAGACCCGGGAGTTCTCGGAGACGGACAGCACGTGATCTCCGGGGCAGGTGGACGAGTCTCGAACCAGGAAGACCCCGTGCCGCTGTCCCTGCAGCCGGGACTGAGCCTCGTGCCGGGAGACCGGACCGAAGTACCAGCTCGAGCGGTCCGAAGAGTCGAAGCGAGCGGACGACATGACTGAGCGGTCGATGGGAGATAAGAGTGGTATACAGGAAGGTGCGGGCAGAGGCTGGTCACTGGCAGGCTGTTTCCCGGGCAGCTCTGGGTGTCATGGTCACAGCGGAAGCGGCAGGTCCTGTCAGGCCCGCGCGGGGTGTGCGTGACCCAACTCGGGTCCCCTCCCTATTCTCTGCTCTACGAGACTGGGGAGACAGTAAAGATGGCGGAGGACTGCGGGCTTTCACATACAGCGAACCGGATACACGCCACGAACCCGCGGCAACCAATAGCACGCCTAACCTTGGCGGTCACGTCCGAGTCCACCTCCTGATAAGGAGTGGGGCGTTTCCTTGAGATTTCATTGGCTGCTGCCCACGTCACTTTTTATTGAGCGGACGACGGGAGCGCGACTTTTCATATGGCCGTACGAGCGGCTCGCCAAAATTCCGACCAATGAGGGTGCGATTTGCCTCTGACGTCGGTGAACATTCAGGAGCCCGTGCTGGGGATTGGCTGCGCTGCCCCGCAGGGTGTTCTGAGTTCTCGACTTGGGTTGCTTTTGACGTAACGCAGACCAATTACATCACTTTGTTAAAATACACCCAGTGTCGGCTTTATAATTGGAGCCCTATATAAAGTGATGGAGAAGAGCCCAGCTAGTGGGGTTCGAGTCTCCTCCTTCAGTGCTAAAGCACAGTAGTCCCTGTGAATGTATGGTCCTGACACAGGGACAGCTTTTTTCCTGAAGGGAGTTCAAACTTTAACCACTTGAACCTTCTCCAGAAGGTTTTACCCCCTTCATGACGAGGCCATTTTCTGCTATTTAGCACTGTGCTACTTTGACAATTGTGCAGTCATGCAACAATGTACGTAGTAAATAGAATCAGTGAGCGCTCAATGATGTAGCAGCTGTAGCACATAAAAGGTAACCAAAATAAAACCTCATAAAATATATATATAAGAAAAGTTCAGCGCTAAAAGGTATATACTCCAGTCTGGTAATAAAATTGGTGACAGTTTGTGATAGGTGATCGGTACAGGAGTTGATAGTGACTTCACGTTCCAGTGGTGTGTTGGTAAATAGTAGAAATACGCACTCACCAGATGCGTATATTTTATTACACATATAATCAATAACACCAGAGGTCCCCCTCATGGGATGGGATGGGTGAGCTGGGCCGTATTAACAGACTCTCCTCCCTCTGGGTAGTAGGCAGCCAAACGATCGTCTCCCTTGGTGTATGTAGATGGGCGTCCAGGTAGAGGCCTCTTTAATGGATGGGCAGGATGCTTATCAGCTTGCCCTGGAACCAGCGCCCTCCTCTGGACTGGTGTCATATATAATTCAGCTCCTGTATCTTGAAATTTGGGCTCTGAAAATGAATGTTAGCTCACCAGGGAGCCAACCAAAAAATGGCCCATAGTGTACTATTTTAAAAAAAAATTTAATTTATTAATCCACGTGGTTAAGAACATAAAAGGTGTACAAGCAAATGGTATACTGACCATTTAAAATAAAAAGATGGCCGCCTGACCTATGATAGGTGCCGGCGGCAAGATGTCACGGCGTAATGGTCCCTTTCAAGGGGCCATTACGCCGCGACGTCTTGCTGCCTGCACCTATCATAGGTCCGGCAGCCATCTTTTTATTTTAAATGGTCAGTATACCATTTGCTTGTACACCTTTTATGTTCTTAACTATGTGGATTCATAAATTTAATTTTTTTAAAAATACTACACTATGCGACTTTTTTTGGTTTGCTCCCTGGTGAGCTAACATTCATTTTCAGAGCCCAAATTTCAAGATACAGGAGCTGAATTATATATGACACCAGTCCAAAGGAGGGCGCTGGTTCCTGGGCAAGCTGATAAGCATCCTGCCCATCCAATAAAGAGACCTCTACCTGGACGCCCATCTACATACACCAAGGGAGACGATCGTTTAGCTGCCTACTACCCAGAGGGAGGAGAGTCCGTTAAGACGGCCCAGCTCATCCATCCCATCCAAAGAGGGGGACCTCTGGTCTTATTGATTATATGCATATTGAAAGATACGCATCTGGTGAGTGCATATTTTTACTATTTACCAACACACCACTGGAACGTGAAGTCAATATCAACTTCTTTACTGATCACCTATCACGAACTGTCACCAGTTTTATTATTTTATATTTTATTACCAGACTGGAGTATATACCTTTTAGCGCTGCACTTTTCTTATATATGCAACAATGTACCCAAATGAAATTTATATAATTTTTTCACACAAATAGAGCTTTCTTTTGGTGGTATTTGATCACAACTGTGTTTTGTTTTGGGTTTTTTTTCTAAAAAGACCACAAACATTTTGAAAAAAAAACTATGTTTTCTACTTTCTATTATAAAACATCCAGTAGGGAAATTTTTAAAAAAAAAATCTAATTTCTTCATAAATTCAGACCAAAATGTATTTTGCTATATGATGTCTTAGGTAAAAAAAAAACAAATCTCTGTGTTTTTTAAGTTGTCATTTTTTGTGGAAAATGAAACAAATCATTTTTTTTTCACAATTTTTTTTTACATACTGTCACCAGTACAGTACAGCATCATCATATGACTGAGGTGACGGTGATCAGGAATACTGACTGGTGACACTATGTAAAACAAAAAAAAAGTAAATTTTGTATTCAATTTTTAAAATATTTTTTTCTTACTGTTTTGTTGTTTTTTTTTTTACATCCTATCATCATATTCGTTCAGTGTCACCATAGTGAAACTGTACCACTCTAGGGGGTGATCAGGTTTTTTTTTTCTTTGAACTGAAATTTACTGATATAAGCAAACATTTTAGTTGTCATGAATGGGTAAACATTCATGACAGCTTAGTTGTTGACATGCTGTGATTAGCTAAAGGGAATCAATAGATGGTACAGGTAGACAAACGCTGTCTGTCTTTGTTGTACTACCATGTGATAGCTGTGAGCCAATCACAGCCTCACAGCCACAACACTAAGCAAGCAGTCATGAATGGAAACCATTAACGGCTGTTTGTTTACATTGTAATTATGTGATCCCTATGACCAGTCATATTGATTACATGATACCCAGTTACTGGTAATTGTAATCCGCTGTGTCTGGTGGACACAGCGGTCACAGTAGCAGCGTGCTGCACACCCCTAACTAAGAACAGGTTGGATAAAGTACATGTACATGATCCAGCCTGCTCATGCCGCCTGCCCTGAGTAAATGTACCGTGGGCTGGCAGCAACTGATTAAACATGTGCTGGCCTTCAGTGGGGGTGTCATCAATTGTTTTAGAAAAGTAGGTATGCCTATTTATTGAGTGCATGAGTCATAGTACATAGACACCCATCACCCCTCAATCCTTGTAGATGGGGAACAGTAACACCTTCAGCACAGAGAGGAAATATCAGATTCTCAATCAGAAATCCCACATGAATGTCCTACAATCTCAGAGCTCTCTACAGGAGAACCTGGTACAAGCAAACTCTCCTCCTTGGAGATCTAAGTGCAAAAAAAAAAAAAATCAAATTTTTTCCTCTTCCCAAACACATAGCACATACACTATATTGCCAAAAGTATTGGGACACCCCTCCAAATCATTAGATTCAGATGTTCCAATCACCTCCATGGCCACAGGTGTATAAAATCAAGCACCTAGGCATGCAGACTGCTTCTACAAACATTTGTGAAAGAATGGGTCGCTCTCAGGAGCTCAGCAAATTCAAGCGTGGTGCCGTGATAGGTTGCCACCTGTGCAATAAGTCCATCCATGAAATTTCCTTCCTACTAAATATTTCACGGTCAACTGTTAGTGGTATTATAACAAAGTGGAAGCAACTGGGAACAACAGTAACTCAACCATGAAGTGGTAGGCCACGTAGAATGACAGATTGGGGTCAGCACATGCCGAAGCGCAGTGTGCAGAAGTCGCCAATTGTCTGCAGAGTCAATAGGTAAAGACCTCCAAACTTTGTGTGGCCTTCAGATTAGTAACAACAGCAGTGCGTAGAGAGCTTCATGGAATGGGTTTCCATGGCCGAGCAGTTGTATCCAAGCCTTACATCACCAAGTGCAATGCAAAGCATCGGATGCAGTGGTGTAAAGCACGCCGCCACTGGACTCTAGAGCAGTGAAGATGTATTCTCTGGAGTGAAGAATCACACTCCTCTGTCTGGCAATCCAATGGACGTGTCTGGGTTTGGCGGTTGCCAAGAGAATGGCATTGTGCCAAGTGTAAAGTTTGGTGGAGGGGGGATTATGGTGTGGTGTTGTTTTTCAGGGGTTGGGCTTGGCCCCTAAGTTCCAGTGAAGGGAACTCTTAAGGCGTCAGCATACCAAGACATTTTGGACAATTTCATGCTCCCAACTTTGTGGGAATAGTTTGAGGATGGTCCCTTACTGTTCCAACATGACTGCGCACCAGTGCACAAGGCAAGGTCCATAAAGACATGAATGAGCGAGTTTGGGATGGAGGAACTTGACTGGCCTGCACAGAGTCCTGACCTCAACCGGATAGAACACTTTTGGGATGAATTAGAGCAGAGACTGTGAGCCAGGCCTTCTGGTTAGACATCAGTGCCTGGCCTCCCAAATGTGCTTCTGGAAGAATGGTCAAACATTCCCATAGACACACTTCTAAACCTTGTGGACAGCCTTCCCAGAAGAGTTGAAGCTGTTATAGCTGCAAAGGGTGGGCCAACTCAATATTGAACCCTACGGACTAAGACTGGGATGCCATTAAAGTTCATCTGCATGTAAAGGCAGGCAGCGTGTATGTGGCGGCAGGAAAAGTGGGTCTTACCACCCAGCCACTGTGCATATACGTCCATGGCAGTCTGAGGCAGTCTGAGGTTGTGTGCTGAGAGAACTGCATGCTTCTCAGCACACTGGCCGAACTGTCTCTAACAGATCTCAGTCACAGCTTCTGATAGGGGGTCAGAGCGATGGTCTCCCAATTATATGACCACTGTGAAAGCCAAACACAACAGTCAGGTGATCAGAAAGCCAATCCAT